TTTAATATATATATATATATATATATATATATATATATATATAAAACTTTAAAAAAATAAAAAATAATTGACACAATTTTTTTAAAATATTTTGACAAAATATACATATATTATTTTATTGATTTATTATTTATTTGTTATTATACTAACCTACTCTAAATCTAATAAAAAAAAGTAACATGTATATTATATTAAAATATTTTCAAAAAATATGTGTTAATGTCATTTATTTAAAAAAAGAGAGTAAATGAAGGAGTTGGAAGCAAGACTCTTCCAAACTTTTATAAGCTCATCATTAATGATAATGACGTTAGATTATATAATGATTGTTTTAGATTTAGTTAAAATACAACTTAAGTCTTATTTTTGTAACTAGGTGTGTTCTTTATTTTATGGTTTAAGCAAATTTTAAAAATTCGTAGTTTTATTCCAAATGTTTATTTTTATATTTTAATTATTATTATTTTTTCTGGATGGTGCTTAAAAGATATACGAGACTATTTAATTGGACTGAAAGACAAATTACGGCAAAAATAAGAATGGAATAAATATGGTAAAAAATTTAAAATGTGAAGATTAAAGTTGCTGAAAAAAAATCCTGAATGAAAGCTATTAACATAAAAATTACAATCATTAATCCTATATCAAGCACTATATTCATGTTTATTATGGTGATCATTTTGAATTTCTTTAAAAAATGTACAAATTATAAAATGTTTAACATTTTTTTTAAATTATATATGTTTCATAGTAACAAACAGAGAAAAATATTTGTTTTTATTCAATCTTTTTTCCATTATCCGTCCTATTTACATTTCTCTTTTTCCTTTTTCAGTGTTTGGAAGAATCACATACTCTGCATCAAACTTTATCCTTATTCTTCAACCTTAAAATTTGTGTGAATCATGGAAGACCTTTTGTTGTTGTGTCTAGAAACAATGTAGGAAGAGTCAAATTACTTGATCCAACTCATCTTGATTTTCTTAATGTTTGCACAATTAAGAGCATATGATTGATAAAAGGAACTTAGGTAGAAGGTGTCTTTCAAAATAGTGAAAACACATTATTGATTCGTAATGGTAAGTGAAACATGACACTATTATAATTAAGTGCCAACGGTAAGTCTCAATTCACTCTTAAAAAGTCTCATTTTAATGGATAATCAAATGAGTAGACTAAAAAAAAATACTAACTCTCATAGTCTTCTTTAATAATATATTAGAGTCAGAATCAAAGTAATTTTGATTTCCTTACAAAAGTTTAATTAATTCCTAAATACAACATCTCTAGTTCCTAAAAACAGTCTCATCGACTGAATTTGTTTGCAAATTTTCATTAGGAAGCTACAACATCAATGTCCATCAATATCCATGGTCATATAAACTATTTTCTTCACCTTGGTTTCCCTTGACCGATTTCATAAAAGGATCAATGGTTTCCCTTCTATTGACGAATCTTCTTACATTGAGAGAGCAGTGGTAGTGGAAAGCCTCCCACAATTCTTGGCAGACAAGCACCAACCTGCTTCACATAATGCCTTCATTTGCAACAGACAAGAAGCTCAACTTCTCAAGGAATTGGTATGTTTCCAAATCTTCTCATATGCCTTCCACTCTATCATTGATGGTGTTCGTGCCTCACAAATTTTCTAATGCACTCAACTTCTTATGTCTAGTCAAAACATCTTAGTTTCCATGTGAACAAAGCTTAGACATAGAGTTAAAAAAGTGTTTTTTTTTTTCTGTTGATGTTCTTCAATTAGAATTGGAAATTTGTTAAGTAACTTAAGCTAACTTGCAGTACAGATTTTCAATACGCATATTACTTTATTGGTGTGAAATTCTAGTTCTGAGTGAAAAATAATAACAAAAACACCTGCAGAATTGCATAGTTTAGTCCTTTTCTTATACTGTACTTGTAAATTTTATAACTGAGTCAAACTATCTTACTTTTCAGGTTTCTCATGGCTCTTGCCCTCATATTTTGCTCAAAGGACCCTCAGGTTCCGGGAAAAGAGAGCTAGCAATGGCTCTTCTTAAAGAAATATATGGTGATGCATGTTATAATGTATATTTCTTCCCATAATTTTCCTTTCAGACGTGTTTTGTGTTTCTAAACTGACTTTATTAGACCCTTTTGCAGCTGTCTCATGATTTAAGACACTTCCCTATTCAGGTAGAGATTTTTCGCTTTCCTAACTTAGCTTTTGATATGTGATAGGTACAAACTAAGAAACCGTTTATGGTATTATTTCAAAAAGTAGCATCTCCTATCCCTTAAGTCACAGTATTTTCCCCAAATTGACAGGACCAAAGCCTTAAGAAAGTCTCTGTACCCATAACATCCAGTCCTCATCACATGGAGCTAGATGTAAATTCAGAACCAAATGACAAATATGCTTTAATGGGATTAATCAAAGAAATAAGCAATATATATGCTATTGCCCCTGAAGTAAGCAATATTAATTTCAAGTCAGATTTTAAAGGTTAGTAGCTTAATTACTTGTTTAACTAGCCTCCTAAATAGATTTATCCTTTATGTGAGTCTAGTTAATGTGGCTGGTTTCTCTGGATTTCAGTAATAGTTCTTTATGATGTCCACAAAGCTGTAGATAACATTCAGCACATTATCAAATGGGTAGACCGCTATTCTGATATATGCAAATTAGTACTCTGCTGTGAAGATGATGCAGACATGATTGAAGCTGTGAAAAATCGGTTCAAAACTGTACTAGTTGATGCTCCTCAAGCTCACCAAGTAAGAATAAATTTTGGAATATGTAAAAGTTAACATCGATCTACAACATATCAAATCATAGATTTTTTTTATTTTTTTTTTCACTTCAATGTGTACTTATTTCCTAGACCATTTTATTTTGTTGTCTTAATTCCAACTTTGGAAAATATCAAACTTTCCTTCAATTAATACTAATGATCATATAACTTCTGAGAAGGAACTAACTTAATGTCAAGAAAAGCATAATTAATTAACACTCATGAACCTTCAACTATACAGGTTGTTGAGGTTCTTATGCAGATAGCAAAGAATGAGAAATTTGATCTGTCCATGAACTTTGCTACGAAGATTGCTACAAAATCTAAGCAGAACCTCAGAAAAGCAATCATGGCTCTGGAAGCATGCAAAGCACACAAGAGCTTCCGACTGGAAACATTTACTTTAACATTCCTAGAAAATTGTCTCCATAGACTAAATAGGGTACTATGATGGACAGCTATCCATTCTCAGAAGAACAAGCAATTTCAGTTGTATGGGAGGAGATCGTAATAGAAGTTGCCACAGCGATCCTAGCTGATCCATCATATTCACGGCAAGAAATTTCTCTATCTTATATTCTAAACTACAGAATTAGAAGCTAATGGCTTCTTATTATCCGGGTTCGGAATAAGACTCACATGCTTTACTTTTATTCTAAGTAACAGCTTGAAAATTGTCAATCTGATTATGGTTTAAGTTTTTAATGTAAATTTTGTTATGATTTTATCAGCTTACTCTCAATTCTGAGGGAAATTTCAAATGCTTCTCTTGGATTTTGTCCAGCCGAAATTGATTCTCCTGGTAACGAATAAGAGTCCATAATTAATTTATTCAACTCATCAAAATAGTATTGAATAAAGTACATTCTGTTCAAACATGCAGAGCATCTCCTAAAAAAATGCAATCGTAGAACAGAAACTCATAATTCATCACACCTCAATTTGAAAATACTATAATACTTCAGACGCATTAATTCAAATTTTAATACTAAATCATTTTCCACCAAAAAGCAATATATTAAAACTGAATTTAAAACAAAAAAACAAATACAGATATTTATTTCTTGAGCAATTCATCAGGAACCACCCTAAGCTGCTTCCGCTTTTTCGATTTGGCAATCTTCTTCAAGGTGTTAGGGTTAGTAATCTTTTGGAACTTCGTTCCAGATTTAAGAATATTCTCCTGCTTCTTCTTCTCCCTTTCCTCTCTCTTCTTCCGCTTCTCCACCTTGTTCAACCGAATCTCCTCCTTCAGTTCCATCATCCTCTCTTTGTACGCCTTCTTAATCATCTTCTCCTTTTCTCTCTGCTCGAAAGTCGTCCCTTTCCGGCTCACCTGGGTCGCCGAAGCCCTCCTCTCTCGCACCTGTTTCCACTTCCGACCGGATACCTTACCGGCAATCACGCCGTCGTAGCTCGGCTGACCGTAAACAGGTTTGTCCGGATTCTCAGACGACGTTAGCGCCGATCGCTTCGCCGGAGGCGGGACGGTCTCGTCGGTGTCCATGAGAGAAACGCCGTATTTACCGGTGATGACGTCATCCGTTTGCGTTTGGGACTGCTGCTCCCTCTTGCGCTTGTAGGTTTTGCCGCCAAAACCCTCGTCGAGGCAGCGAAAGTCGATTGTGCACGCCATGAGCGAGGTTTACGAAACCCTAATGGATTTTAGGGTTTATATTGTACTTCTTTCTCCTCGCTATTTATACTATGGAAAATGATATTTGAACAACCATTTTTGACAACATTTAGACACGCACACACGTGTCAAAATCTGAGTGGTCCATTTTCATTTAATTTTTCCAACTGGACCACTCAGATTTTGACACGTGTGCGCGTGTCTAAATGTTGTTAAAAATGGTTGTTCAAGTGTCATTTTCCTTATACTATACTTCACTATAGTTAGAAGGTTAAGATGAAGTTAAAAAAAAGGTTAATTCAAATAATAAATGAAATAATTTGATGGAGATGAAAATTAATTGATACTGCTTAATTTATCTTTTAATATACATGACTATTAATAAAAAAATTATTTTGATAACTACTTTTTTATGTTAATTTTACTCTAATTAGTGTAAATTATACTAACAATTATTTAACTATTTTGATTTTCAATGAAAATTTAAAATGTTATTCGGCAACTCGAATTCCCAGCAGTCCTACCCGATATAATAGAACAGAAGTACATAAAAAAGTATAATATTTCAGATTTTTAAGTAAATATAATATTTCATATACATTAAAAATATGAAATATTATACTTTTTAATGTTTATAAGAGATTTAAAAATATAGGGGAGATTTAAGTACTAAAATTAAATTATATATATATAACTAATAGTTTAAATATGTTAAATCTTTTTGTCTTTTCTAGAAAAAAATTGTAACATACTTATTTTGTCATTGTATAAATATTTTAAAAAAATTCTAACATTGTTATTTCATAAATATTTAATTGTATATTTTTTCTAATTAGAAATGTGATTATATATAAGTCAATTCTAACTTATACTTAAAACAGCTTCATGCGTTCAATTAAGAAAAAAAACTTCAAACTTTGAATTTTTTTTTAAGTGAGTCAGGACTATGATTAAGATAAGTTCGATCACATTATAAAACGTCAATTAATTCTCAAAAAATATACCTTGGCCTGAGTCATATATCTATTCGGTTGATGATCAAAACGGATCGACTTAAGTTAATGGTTGAGATAAACCGTTTTTGACAGAAATTTTAGACAATTTCTTTCGAACTGAAGGTCAGGAATGGTAAATCCTAGTTGAAGGTTGGGACGAGCTAGTGAAGACCGAAGATCAAGATTGATTGGCTCGAATCGAAGGTCGAGATCGATAAGCCTCAATCAAAGGACGAGAAGGGTCATCTTTGACTGTCCCAAAATGAATGTTGTGATGGACCGAAGATCAAAACGGACCAACTAAAGTCGAAGATCGAGACGTATTAGTCTAGGTCAAAGATCGAGACGAGTCTACTCAAACTGAAAGTCAAGATTAACCAAATCCACTGAGTCAACCCTGATTGAATTTGGTCAAGTCGATTCAAACCAAAATTTTGCTTAATTCTATCGAGTCAATCCTGACAAATTTTTAATAAGTTTATCTTAATTAAAATTTGACTAAATTCGACGGAGTTGGTCTCAACTAAATTTCAACTAAATGGATCTCTATTTTGTTTTAGCCTGATTNAAGCTAACTTGCAGTACAGATTTTCAATACGCATATTACTTTATTGGTGTGAAATTCTAGTTCTGAGTGAAAAATAATAACAAAAACACCTGCAGAATTGCATAGTTTAGTCCTTTTCTTATACTGTACTTGTAAATTTTATAACTGAGTCAAACTATCTTACTTTTCAGGTTTCTCATGGCTCTTGCCCTCATATTTTGCTCAAAGGACCCTCAGGTTCCGGGAAAAGAGAGCTAGCAATGGCTCTTCTTAAAGAAATATATGGTGATGCATGTTATAATGTATATTTCTTCCCATAATTTTCCTTTCAGACGTGTTTTGTGTTTCTAAACTGACTTTATTAGACCCTTTTGCAGCTGTCTCATGATTTAAGACACTTCCCTATTCAGGTAGAGATTTATCGCTTTCCTAACTTAGCTTTTGATATGTGATAGGTACAAACTAAGAAACCGTTTATGGTATTATTTCAAAAAGTAGCATCTCCTATCCCTTAAGTCACAGTATTTTCCCCAAATTGACAGGACCAAAGCCTTAAGAAAGTCTCTGTACCCATAACATCCAGTCCTCATCACATGGAGCTAGATGTAAATTCAGAACCAAATGACAAATATGCTTTAATGGGATTAATCAAAGAAATAAGCAATATATATGCTATTGCCCCTGAAGTAAGCAATATTAATTTCAAGTCAGATTTTAAAGGTTAGTAGCTTAATTACTTGTTTAACTAGCCTCCTAAATAGATTTATCCTTTATGTGAGTCTAGTTAATGTGGCTGGTTTCTCTGGATTTCAGTAATAGTTCTTTATGATGTCCACAAAGCTGTAGATAACATTCAGCACATTATCAAATGGGTAGACCGCTATTCTGATATATGCAAATTAGTACTCTGCTGTGAAGATGATGCAGACATGATTGAAGCTGTGAAAAATCGGTTCAAAACTGTACTAGTTGATGCTCCTCAAGCTCACCAAGTAAGAATAAATTTTGGAATATGTAAAAGTTAACATCGATCTACAACATATCAAATCATAGATTTTTTTTATTTTTTTTTTCACTTCAATGTGTACTTATTTCCTAGACCATTTTATTTTGTTGTCTTAATTCCAACTTTGGAAAATATCAAACTTTCCTTCAATTAATACTAATGATCATATAACTTCTGAGAAGGAACTAACTTAATGTCAAGAAAAGCATAATTAATTAACACTCATGAACCTTCAACTATACAGGTTGTTGAGGTTCTTATGCAGATAGCAAAGAATGAGAAATTTGATCTGTCCATGAACTTTGCTACGAAGATTGCTACAAAATCTAAGCAGAACCTCAGAAAAGCAATCATGGCTCTGGAAGCATGCAAAGCACACAAGAGCTTCCGACTGGAAACATTTACTTTAACATTCCTAGAAAATTGTCTCCATAGACTAAATAGGGTACTATGATGGACAGCTATCCATTCTCAGAAGAACAAGCAATTTCAGTTGTATGGGAGGAGATCGTAATAGAAGTTGCCACAGCGATCCTAGCTGATCCATCATATTCACGGCAAGAAATTTCTCTATCTTATATTCTAAACTACAGAATTAGAAGCTAATGGCTTCTTATTATCCGGGTTCGGAATAAGACTCACATGCTTTACTTTTATTCTAAGTAACAGCTTGAAAATTGTCAATCTGATTATGGTTTAAGTTTTTAATGTAAATTTTGTTATGATTTTATCAGCTTACTCTCAATTCTGAGGGAAATTTCAAATGCTTCTCTTGGATTTTGTCCAGCCGAAATTGATTCTCCTGGTAACGAATAAGAGTCCATAATTAATTTATTCAACTCATCAAAATAGTATTGAATAAAGTACATTCTGTTCAAACATGCAGAGCATCTCCTAAAAAAATGCAATCGTAGAACAGAAACTCATAATTCATCACACCTCAATTTGAAAATACTATAATACTTCAGACGCATTAATTCAAATTTTAATACTAAATCATTTTCCACCAAAAAGCAATATATTAAAACTGAATTTAAAACAAAAAAACAAATACAGATATTTATTTCTTGAGCAATTCATCAGGAACCACCCTAAGCTGCTTCCGCTTTTTCGATTTGGCAATCTTCTTCAAGGTGTTAGGGTTAGTAATCTTTTGGAACTTCGTTCCAGATTTAAGAATATTCTCCTGCTTCTTCTTCTCCCTTTCCTCTCTCTTCTTCCGCTTCTCCACCTTGTTCAACCGAATCTCCTCCTTCAGCTCCATCAT